AAATTTCCTTAAACTACAGTAGTAATCTACATATTGTGTGTTCCAGTGAGAAACAAATAATACATTTATGTTAGAAGAAAAGGTTTTCACAGTTACTAATATAGACAGCATTTTGAATTTTTAACTTTTCGTATTTTAGTTTTAGATAATTTTTTATTTTGGCAAAGTAATATCCCATAAATTACAGTAATTATTATAAATGGACTCATACCGAAAGTCCCTTTATTTTATAGAGACTAAAAATGAAAAATCACTGCTATCAGTATAAATAATGGCTATAATATTAATAATAATAATCTATGTGCGACATCAAATTAGGCACAATATTACCAATACTAGAAAACAATCCGCAACATATGAAATCTTAATATATCAATAAATACACTCTCTATCATTAAGTATACCCACCTAAGTAATTTTAGCAATTTATAGTTACAATTGATAATTTCTGGAGTGAACATAATTATTTTATTAATGCTGCATTATTCATTTTCCATCTGAGGCTTTGAAGTCACATTATTACATTTGGAGTTGACTCTTTTCATACAGTGAAGGATTGTAGCAGTGTGGCTTTAAGAAAAAAAAACTTCAGTTGTAAAGTTAAATACGGACAAATGGGCAAAAAATATTAACTCTATACAACAAATGCTGACTGTATCCAGACATGCATTGATTAAACAGAGTTTCAGGTTTTATGCAAGCCTGACAGCTGATAGATTTTGCTTTTGATAGAACATTTGTAGAACTTTTGTTCTGTCCATTGTTGTAAACCATTTTTTCCCTCAGAATTGTGATGTATTTTGTGTTCCTTTTGCCATGTACAGTAAGCCAAATGTGGGAACAGACAAACGCCTCCCTGGTCTAGGCTTCTTTGCTTTGGATGTGATTTCAGAACCTATCTTTAAAGACAACTGGAACAAATAAGCCTCCTAAAGGAAACTACTGGGAAATTAGGATGTGATAAGAGAAAAATACTTAGCTTAAGTGAGTTACAATGGGAAGTCTGATGAGTTTCCAGTTCCTACACACCACTTTTAAAATGTAAATTAAACTTTTTTAGAAAGAAATGGTTCAGTCTTAGTATTACCTTGTTAATGCAGACAATGCCATGATTAGAAAGGATTTCAGCAAATGTATAGGTTTCCTGCAGAGATGCAAAGACCGTGGTTGGCAGTTTCCTAGTTCGACAATTCACCACTGCATGCCCATGATTAATATCCTCTGATCAGCACTTGACTGTGCAGTCTGCTTATGGGAGGGGAGAAGAAAAAGGAAGTTAAATGTATAGTTTATATTATTTTTATTTTTTTCTGCATTTATACTTTATGCCTCAGTAAACTATGAAGTAAAAGCGTTAAAAAAAACAACTAGAAAGCTACTAAATATTGAAAAAATTGACTTACCTCCTCTCATAGGCAGAATTCATAGTCCACCAATAATAATAAGAATTACTGATGTCACCAGCACAGTGCATGCTGGGGCATCTCTTTAGAATGTAAAATCTACAATCAGGAGGTTATTCAGTCCTACATGTGAGAAATTAAAAATACCTATTTTGAGACTTGGGGGGAGCGGAATCACATGACACTTCGGAATTAGAAAGATGTATAGCAAGGAGATGTGTACCTCATCAGATAATGTATGTAAGGCTTTCATCCACTGCAGTAAGCATTTCCCTGATGCAAAACTTTTAGAAATTGTAGGAACAATTCTCAAGACTTTAGATGTAATGTCCTAGTAGGACCCAGAACTCATTAGATTGCTTTTTTGATTTACCCAACTAGACAGATTGGGCCCTGAGTCGCATACTGAAAAATGTCATTTCCCCAGTACCAGAATCCCTGCTGGAAATGACAAGTAATCAAGACTGTATGAACTCTTATTACAGATGATAGGATCAAGCCTGAAAATGCATGGAGACTTTTACTTTATATTTCATTTAACTTGGACAATGAGCCTTTCCTTTGAATTGGCCCATCATATTCCCACTCAAAAATCTCTAACTAGTTCATTACCTTTCCCCATTTACTAAAGTGTTTTAATTATTAGGATGCAAACAGAGCTTCTGCTACATGTAATCCAAACTGTAACACCATCAGTATTTCCTTCCTCCATTGTAATGTTGTTATTTAGCACAAACAAACAGCTCATGTGGAGAAGAAATATCAATAAGGCTTGCATATTAAATATTATACACTATTTCTAGCCTGATCTTTGCATGTAAGTGATAAATCCAAGTTTTTCACCAGAAAACTGAAAGTGGCTACAAAAGCCGTAATATGCTATCAGAATTAGAAAAAGCAACATGTTTTCTGAGATAGTTTCATAGAAAGTGATTTTCCCCTTTACTTCAAAAAGCACCCATGTGCTGAAGTCTCCTTTGATGCTCATATGGGCTCTCAACAGCACATAGAAGGGTACCAAACTTTGCCCAACTGAGGGTTGCAGTGGCAGCTTATCAGGAACCCATGAGCTGCACACATTTCCTGAAAAAGGAGCAAATTACAGCTGCCTCATCTTTAATATATTTGAGCCATCTCTTGATGCAACACACCATCTTGATCCAAGCTGAAAAAATTCAGCTAATAATACATTTGTGTTATATGCCAGAGAGGAATGGGAAGACACAACCCTGGACATTTTTAGATGTAGGTTCTAGTTCTGGGTCTGCCACAGAATTTTTATGTAAGCCTTGAACAAGTAACTTAACATCTGTGCCTCAGTATCCTCATCTGTAAATAATATTTATCTCAGGATATTGTGAGGCTAACTATTGGTCTTTGTAAAGTGCTTTGAGGAAAGATGCTGAAATAATTTTTTTTAGATCTGTTCACCTATAATCTCTGCAAAAACAGTGAGAAGTCTGGTGACACCTTAGAGACTAACAGATTTATTTGGGCATAAGCTTTCATGGAAGCTTATGCCCAAATAAATCTGTTAGTCTCTAAGGTGCCACCGGACTCCTCATTGTTTTTGTGGATACAAACTAACACGGTTACCCCCTATACTATAATCTCTATGTATTTCAATTTGATTTGCGCTTTGATGTTGTTAGTCCTACTTAATAAATAGAATTCTAAAAGCTTGAGGTGGAAAAGACCTATCCCATCATCAAGTCCATTTCACTGCCAATGCAAAATTGTTTCCATTATATCTTTTTTAACCTGGACAATGAGCCTTTCACTTTAATGGGCCCATTATATCCCTGCTCAAAAACTTCTGACTACTTCACTGTCTTTCCCCTTTTCCATTTTCTAGTATTTTGTCCAATAAACTTTTAAGTGTACCAGGCAAAGAGACTTCCTCCATTTCTTTTGGGACACTATTGTTTTAATATCATAGTGCTAACGCATGTCTAATTTGCTGCCCACAGTCATCCCTAATACTTTCAGCATTAATGCTTTTCATATTTCTCCACCACATCAAATATCTGAGTTTTATATTATTTTCCCCAAAATACATTACCTTGCATTTCTCAAATTAAATATCATTTTGCTATTTTTGATCCATTTTTAAAATATTTCTAGGTCTCTTCATGTTACTTCTTTGTCCTCACTAGCATGTGCATCTGCTCTCAATTTAATATCAACTTTGTTAGCATGATTAGTATTCTCTTCAGGATTATTAACGAAGGTTTAATATAAGATCATACCTAATAACAATTGCTGTAGTACCCACTAGACATCATCTACCCAGTTGATACATTGTTACTTATTCTTTCGTCATATTATTTCACTAGGGACCGACAAAAGTTAGACTTACAGAGCAGTTATTTGTCCTAGGATCCAGATCATATGGACTGACTAATTTGCATATGTTCACATTTATCAAATATTCTCTTAGCTGATCTTGTTTCTTTAGGTATTTTACAAAATCTCTCTTATTTTCTAGCAGTCTGATCCAGCTGCCATTGTAGTCAATGACAAATCTTTCCACTGACTTCTGTAGTAGTTGAATTGGACCCTAATTGTTTGTTTCTTTTCTTTATTATTCTGGTTTACAGACAGATTTTTTACAAAGTGTTAATTATCTTAACCCTTTTCAATCATTATTAATCTAAACATTAAGTAAACCCTTTTTAATGGACCTACTTTCTCCCTACTGTTTTTTTTTTTTACACTGGCATATTTGCAAAAGCCCTTAAATACTTTGGCTAACAATAACCCATTCTTACATTTTGCTACATTTGGGCCTGATTCTGTTCCCTCTGAAGTCAAGTGGGAATAATATAAGTATCTTCCTCTAAGTCTTAACTGTTTCTGAGTATTTTTGTTTGAGTATGTACCTGCTTTTCCATTTGTATTAATTACCACCATACTTCCTTAACATTTTCATATTAATATTCTGACTTCTCCTAATTTCCTGTTAATTACACTCAGTGACAATGTTGTTTAGACTGAATTTTGAAATTGACTGCTTATCCAACTAAACACATAATACACACTTTGATTTTGCTCTTTTTAATGTAAAGCTTGCTACTGGTCTTTAGAAGAATAATGTGTGAATAAATAAGACAAGAAATGTGTGCACAAATTTTAGGGTTACATAAATTAAACAAACTTAAAGAATTAAATCATCCTGGTTTTTTTCTATTTTTTGCCAAGTCCTTTTCAGCAATTAGTTCTTCATGTCATCATTCCTTCTTTAAACCTATGATTTGCTACATTTTTATAGATTTTCCTTTATGTCTGAGTTTAACATGTATCTCTTTTTTCTTTTATTAGAGTATTCAAATTATAAGGCAACATCCTACCACTATCAGGTTTTTATTTATTTTATACCTTTTTTGCTTTCTACCTAGGTGAAGTTTGTTCATCTTTTGGTTGTTAAATTAATTGTATGAGTTATTTTCACCAATTGAAAAGCAGAGTGCAAACAGATTTAAAATACTGTATTACCTTTTAAGAAAGATTGATTAAAATTGATAACGTATCTAATTATTTTATTGCTATACATATTCTCACACAGTTTCCACTATTTTCCTTTTATTTATATGCTAGGTCGTTGTGAATGCCCTCTTAGGAGCAATTCCATCCATTATGAATGTGCTTCTTGTTTGTCTTATATTCTGGCTAATCTTCAGCATCATGGGAGTAAATCTGTTTGCTGGCAAATTCTACTACTGTGTTAATACCACAAATGATGAGAGGTTTGATATCAGCCAAATCAACAATTATAGTCAATGTGAGGACCTCATAAACAACAATGAAACAGCCAGATGGAAAAACGTTAAAGTAAACTTTGATAATGTAGGACTTGGCTATCTTTCTCTGCTTCAAGTAGTAAGTGACCACTCTTTAATATGTTTCGTATTGTTTACTTGTAGTAAAGAGTAATTTCTCAATGTTTTTGTCACTAAGTTACCCTTTGTTTACTACTGTGCCATGAAAATCCTTACATATGGTAGGAATGCTGAGCACAATTTTTAAAAAGACAGATACATACAGACTTACATATCTGGCTGTGGAAGAGATCTCGAGCAAGCAGAAATGGACACTCACAATACTCATTGTCTCTCCCTTTACATACCTGGGACTCACTTCCAGCTTGCCAGTTCAACTGGCTATGTTGGCTCCCTGTATTATGGAGAGCAAGTTTGGCAAGTGTATATGCTATTGAAAGTATATGGCTAAAATCACACATCCAAAAATAGAATAAAAAGCAAAACTGAAGGGTACTGAGATGTTCTGGAAAGGAGTAGTGGAACTGAGTGGCAGTGGTGCGGAGTCCCTTTGAGGAAGGATGGGAGGCTTCAATACATGACAAGAAATAGGAGAGCTGATTGGTTGCCTAGTTTGCATGACCAGAACTTGCTGGGACACGTGAGAGGAGGTGGTGTTTCCAAGGTTCAATGAGGAGCACTGGGTGTGGCTTGGACTCTGAAGCACTACCACTTTAACTTTTGAGGATGTCATTTGTTTTTTCTTATACTTGTACCCTTGCTTTAAAAAACAAGTTTAAAAATACATTCTGTAAACTTATAAATATTAGACAAATCCTTACTCATTTCCACAAGACCCGGAATCACACCATTTCATGCAAACATGTTTATCACCTCTTCGACACATTTTGGTCTGCTTTGTTTCTGCTTGACAATTCTAAAAGCCCTGAGAATCTATCAATTCAAATCTGGAATGTTTTCTTACTTTAGGCTCATATTGCCATGACTACTACTTCTCCCTTATGGTGCAAGTTTGGGGGACATAATTCACCATATATTATAAGTTATTTTATCTATATTTACCTCTTGTAATTACTGGTAGCAACCCATCTGTAGCCATCGTAGGACGAATTAGTTACTCCTGATCTAGAGGTGATGTCATTCCCATGCACTCAAATGAGTAACCTATTTAAGTGTCCAGCATGTGGAGCAATTGGTCTCTGGGCTTAACACACACACTATCCATGCTTCAACATGCTTTCTCTTTCACTGCAAGGAGGATGTATGGTGGGATTGCTGCAGAAGAGGTAAATGGGCCCTGAGCTATGCAGGAGTCATGTGGAGTAACCATTGCTACTGTTGAGTGCATAGTATGTTTGAGCACCAGAACTGGTGACGTGCAGAGTGTGTTTTACAATCATGTATATACAGCTGTGACACAAAGTATAACTATGGATGTATTCAGTATAATTATAATATAATAAAATATGCGGTCAGTTAAATGCAATACCTAATCTTTTACTATAGAGGATAATATATCTATTAAAAATTCTCATCTAACTACACACTATCAGAAATAAAAATGCATTTTGTGGAGGGGGGATTATGGTTTATATGATGTAAGCACTGCTCTTGATTTCACAGTTAAGGCTGAGTGTCTTTTACACTTAAATATCTATCTATATCTAGCTATATATATGTATGTGTGCATATTTATTATACTGACTATATCCCTGGTTATTCTTTGTGTCACAGCTGCATACATATGACTGTAAACACACTCTGTGCACATACACCTCTACTCTGATATAACGTGACCCGATATAACATGAATTTGGATATAACACAGTAAAGCAGTACTCCGGGGGGGCGGGGCTGCGCACTCAGGCGGATCAACGCAAGTTCGATATAACGTGGTTTCACCTATAACGTGGTAAGATTTTTTGGCTCCCGAGGACAGCATTATATCGGGGTAGAGGTGTATATAGATATTTCAGTGCTAAAACCAACTCAGCCTTAACTCTGAAAGTCAAGAGCAGAGCTTACATCGTATAGACCATGATATATCCCCTCCTACAAAATGTATCTTTGTTTCCAATAGTGCATATTTAGATGAGAATTTTTAATAGATATATTATTCCTTGTAGTAAAAGATTAGGTATTGCATTTCGCTGGATTGCATATTTATTATAATTGTTTACAATTCTTGTATACAAAAAACAAGATACAAGGTAAAAGCCAAATATTAATCTTGCACTATACCAGTATTTTAAAATGAATATGAATATAGTTAGTCTTCAGTTCATAAACAGTGTCTCCAATTAGTCATTTTCTAGGAACAGCAGAAGTTAAGCACATGTGTTCTGTTTATAGGCCACATTTAAAGGATGGATGGATATAATGTATGCAGCTGTGGATTCTCGAAATGTAAGTATATTCCCTAGAGCCATTGTTTTGATTGTGTGAACTCTGTGATCCCAGTAATGTAACTGATATTTTACTTGAGTGACACTGGAAATGAGATAACATGGAGTTATATAGTTCCATCAAGCAGAAAAGGTAGCAAAGAGCATGAAAATACAAAAGAAAAGGAGATCAAGGGAAGATCCTTTAAGGTCCCATATATTCTGTGGCACAGCAAGACCAAATTCCACAGTAACTTTAACTTATTCTTTTGTCATGAAATACCCTTGGCTCCTAAGCAAACACTCAAAAGGCTATGCTTCATGCTTGGAAACACTCATTGATGGAAAATTTTTAGGAATTATTTGCAACAATGATTATTTTCAAGGATGTGGTTGTTTTCCAAGCAGCTTGGCTCCACTCCTCAGGTCTCAGTTCCTGTACTGTTCTGTGCTCCACATTGCTCATCAGTTTATCCTTCTTTCTCCCTCTGCTCCCAGGCTACAAGCTGTGCTCCATTCTGGCTCCCTAACTTCCTGCTCCCTTGTTCCATGAAACTATGCAGGGAGTGTGTCCTATAATCCTATTAAGTCCCCGTTAATAAATGGTAAGAAAGGGGCAGTTGAAGGGAGGTCTTGGCAGGAGGTCCTAGCTATATTAAAATGCAAGATTCTATGGCAGAATTGGTGAACTCCATGGTATCTTGGAAAACATCAGATTGTTTGCCATTGGAATTGCAGAATCCACAAGAACCTGACGGAGAAGAATGGAATGGTTCATACCTCTTAGAGCAGGGGTAATCAGTTATTTTCTGTCAAGGTCCAAATTTATTGGTCAAGGTCCAGACTCCAGAGAAAATAATACAAAAATAATAACAATAATAATAATAATAA